AATCTGCAGAAAATTCACATGAATTAATGTGTAGAGAGCCAACTTTAACAAAACTTTGTTAACTTTGTTTTGACCCAAACATGTTCCAGTAACAAAATCAAATCAAGGTTACATTTTCATCTTTTACACTAAAATGATGATGTTTCCAAGTGGCAGAAAGTACAAACTAAAAAGTGGAGGACCTAAAGTTAAACCTTTCAGAGCTCTATAATTAATTTATTAACTTTTAGATGAACATTTATTCCTATTGATGAGAATTAAATCAGTTAAACAAGAACCAAAAAGACCAATCAGACTGAAGTCTGTCTAAAAGAATCAAGTGGTTTAAAGTATCAAAGACTGCACTAAAGTTCAGTAGGACTAATACAGAGGGGTTCTTTGTATCGATACTGGACGAGTACTGTCTCAGTGGTGCTATTTGTTCATAAACCTGACTGGTATTTTTCAAAACTGTTAAAAGACTTCATAAAGACATTCTCATTATTGGTCCCGATTCCCTCACCTCTACAGTCCAAGATTTCCATCTTTCATTTGATAACTCTTCCCTGTCACCCTCGCCCCACTGCTGTAACCTAGGGGTCATTTTCGACACCAAACTCACCTTCACCAAACACATAAATCCTGTTACTAAAACAGCCTTCCATCACCTAAAAAACATTGCCCGCCTCTGCCCCTCTCTCTCCCTCCCCGCAGCAGAAACCCTCATCCACGCCTTCATTACATCACGCATTGATTACTGCAATAGCATCCTCTTCGGTACCACCTCCAACCTCCTCAATAGACTCCAATACATCCAAAACTCTGTCGCCTGCCTCCTCACCCACACCCTCTCCCGAGACCACATCACCCCTGTTCTTCAAAACCTTCACTGGCTTCCCATCCCAGACCGTATCAACTTCAAAACTCTCTACTACTCACCCACAAAGCACTCCATAATCAGGCCCCCTCTTACCTCAAAGACATGCTCCACCCCTACACCCCTTCATGTACTCTCCACTCCGAAAATTCAAACCTCTTGATCGTTCCCAGGACCAAGCACCAAACCTGGGGGGATAGGGCCTTTTCTGCGCCGCCCCCACTCTCTGGAACTCTCTCCCACAACATATTCAAGACACCTCAGACCCAGTAATATTCAAATGTAAATTAAAAACTCATCTGTTCCGCTCCGCTTTTCCCACCTAGGCCTAGGCTCTATCTCGATATTTACTGTTTTTTTTTCAATCTTTTTTTAATCTGCTTGCTGTATTTCTCTATTGTCTACCTTTGTATTTGTTGCTCGTTGTTTAATGCTTTTATTGCTTTGCTTTTATCCTGTGAAGCGTCTTTGAGTTCTTGAAAAGCGCTATACAAATAAAATGAATAATTATTATTACTATTATAAAATCATTGACCTGAATATAAAGAAGCTCCTCTAATGTTTTATATCAGTTTGCTGATAGTCCATAATGTATATAGAGGATAAAGTGAGTTAGTGTCTGTGTTTTAGTTCCCATGTTGTGTATGAAACTTCCTGCAGTGTGTTTCTGGTTGATGTAGACCTGCTGCTCCTGTGAATCCTCCCACAGTGTTTCATCAGCAGCTGTAACCACAGTGACTGTGATAAAACAGGAATTAG